ATTTAACATATCTCTGTTTGTATATAAGGTATGTTGTCACCAAATTCACATCTTCAAACATGTATTTGATCTTTATTTATTCATTTGTATGTGGTGCTGAGAATCGAACCCAGTGCCTCACACGTGCTAGGCAAGTGCTCTACCACTGAGCCATAATCCCAGCCCAAGAATGTGAAATTTAAGTTGCTAAGAGAAAGGGATCTTTCTTCTTTGCCCTTCCTTCCAATTAAATCATGCGAATATTTCAGAAAAAAAGAAAATATTTTGAAATAACTGTTGATATCTTATTATTCATTATCATATTGAATTCTACCACATTTTCTGATAAGTGAAGTTTATAATTTTTATTTTTAAGATTTTTTCTGTAATGCCGGCAATTAAGCTTAGAGATACTCAACCTTTGAACTGCATCCCCAATCCTTCTTTTTTTTATCTTATTTTGAGTCAATTTCTTCCTAAGTTGCCAGGCAAGCCTCAAATTTTCAATTCTCTTGCCTTGTTTGTGCTTATTCTAGGTGACTCCTTCCTCTCTGCCATAGGGAATACCCTATCTACTGGTTTTGCATTTTCTTCTCATTATTTTTAGTATTTCCTTCTTTTCTGTTAACATCTCTAACCAAATCTGTTCAGATGGCTATCCCTCAATGTTGGAAATGGGCAACCATGGAGTAGAATGATTTTCTTAATCCTTTGTCAAGCCTTCCTCCATAGTACGCTACCATAAGCCATGTGTTTTGGAAAAAAGAACTAGAGAGTGAAGAATTCTTGTGTAAGAATGAAGCAAGAATTAAAGACAGGCAGTTTTGTCAACAGGTGATCAGATCAGATGGAGAAAATGGGAGACTGGAATGTTCATGTCTCCAGAGCCCTTTGATTATCAAGATTCCCTGCCTATACTACCTCTTCCAAAAGGATGTTAATGGAGCAGCTCCTGAGCAGACTGGGAGCTGCTAATTAAGGCCCCCTGGGCTGCCAATTCTCTTCCTGCCCAGCAGTCCACCTTGGCCCTTCCAGCCCACCTGCTCACCTTCTGGCCACCCCAGCATCTCTCAGTCATGTAAGCAGGATTGGGGGAAATGAACAAGATAAAGAAGAAGAATGCAGGAGAACAAAGGAAACTTCAGATGCATAAAAGGGATGGGGCTTCCTCATCCCATGGATTCCACCTTTGGATTCCCATCTTCCCCCTTGAGAAGTCTGTTTTACTACTCTTTAAATAAAACTTTTTATTTTCTACTCTATGCTTGCCTTGGTGTTTCTCTGGTGTTATACTTCAGTATTTCAGGAAGCAGACTTTTCAAGTTAACTGCCGTATCAAGAATAGCTGGATTGTTGACTAAGGTCTAATTGAACAGAAAGAAAGTCATGATGATCAGAGTACACACACAGCAAATAGGACAAGTCTGTAAGTGCTCTGTGGGGAAACAAGGAGACTTAGAGTTGGAGTATCAGGGTGAGAGAACAGGAAGAGTAAGTTGCTGGGGTTAGCAGAACCCCTCCTTTGCATACCACCAGGTCACTGTTTGCAAGGTTTCTACAATTTCTATAATAGTGTGGCCCCAAAACCATTTCCAGAAAATGGAAAAATTAGTAGCCTTTGAATAAGAGCTGGAGGGAAGCTGATTCAGATGGGTTCTGAAGACCATGTTCATCTCACCTCCAAAGCTTTTCCCCTGCTCTTCTTGGACTACTCCCACACCTCTACTTCCAAAGTCACAAGCCCTCCAGCTTCTCTTCAAGAGTTTCATTCAGAAAAAAACTATGATTGTAACCTCCAATCCATTCCTGGCCAATGATTTTAGCAATTATTGTGTTTAATCTATGTTTCTTTATCTAATCTTACAGAATTCTCATATCGTTTTCTGTGGTTATTTTGTTGTTTTGTTGTTTTGTGGTGCTGGGGATTGAACTCAGGCCCTTGTTTATGGTAGGCAAGTACTCTACCAACTGAGGTATACCCGCAGCCCCTCATCTAGTTTTCTGTGTGCAAAGTTTTATATTTCCAAAAGAGCACAAAGTGCTATGGAATTAGAAATTATCCTTACTTACTCTGTATCATTGTGTCATTTGGGGTAGAACCAGAGTGAGCATGTGGCTTGGAAATACCTGTCCAATCAAATCAACAGGCTGATATTTTCTGAGAGGAGTACTCTTCCACTATGGACTTGTTGGTGGCTCTACTACATACAAAAATTCTGCAACAACAGAGTTTTAAGATGATGAAATGAGATTTGTAAACTATTATTGGTATTCTTAAATTTTTACCTGTTTTGAGTTGAGTATCACTTTGCATCTTGGCTTATTGAAACCACAATATATTAGTTAAAGGGACGCCATTAAGGTAATTACTATGAGATGAATAAAATTAATTAAAGCTAATTTTTTCTAGTGATTTCTATATCATTTGTATATTAAAGATTCAAATTGTGCACTTGCATCAATAGCTGCTCTGACACTTTTCTCTTTAGGAATAGCATCTTGAGTTTGCTTTCTGATATCTAATTTTAAGAATAAAATTGTATTCTTTTTAATTTTTTAAAAGAATGAAATAATGAAAATAGCAGATATTCTTTGTCATCCTCTCATATGTCTAGTATGTAGACTTTTATTTTACCCTTTTTGTACTACTTAATAGAAAAATAAAATAAAAATACAGAAAGCTCCCTAAGTAGGCAGTGCTCATAATCTGTTCTTCAAATATTGACTAGATAGTTGACCTATCTTAATAAAAAATGCCTACTAAATATTATACAGTATCCAGAATTTGTGAAAGCTCAGCACCATTTCAGCACTTTTCTTTTGAATATTTATGTTTTTCTTTACTAAAAGAAACAGCAAACACAAAATACTATATCCAAAAGGTATAAGTTGGCAATGAGTTATGTTCTATTAGATATCAATCCCCTCTGTATGCCTTGATATTTATAATGAAAGCAATACATTTGTCTGGGATTTAGACTCCAGGATTTTTTACCATCAAAGAACAGAGAAAGTCCTTAAAAATACCATTTCTAGGACTTGTGAAATGATCCCTCTTGCATTATATTGGCTTCACAAGACACTGTCTTAGACTCACATATAAAAGTAAAAAAAAAAAATGTAAAATAAGAACCTCTCTCCCACATACACAAACACAAGTATCAATAAACATTAACAGTTTAGGGTGCTAGCTAATGGCAAAAGAAATAGAAACTTACTTGTTAAAATATGTCAATTTATTCTCTCATATATGAAAAATAAATTGTTAGTACATGTTAATTGTTTATACAAAGTAATACACAATGAATTTAAAGTGAGCAACGTGTATGTGGACTAATGAAGCTTCAGATAATTCCAAGAAATATTGCATGCATGTTTGATTTTTTTTCATTTCAGTTGATTTTTTTAATCCTCTTTGATATGAGTTATTTTTAAAAATCTACGGATACCAAAAAAAAAAAAATAGAAGAAGAAAAATGCCAAATCTTGTGGTTGAGCACTAGGAGTCTCCTCTGATTAAAAGTCAGGCTTGAAACCACAGAGCATTGCTAACAAGGAAAGATCTATATGGTGGTTTTGAGACACATGCTATGAAAGTATCTCCTCATCATCTGATAAGGATGTGGAGCTGAACGTACTTTTTTTTTTTTTTTAAATTTAGTCAGTTAGGTATTAGTTTACAAGCAATTAGAGCTGACTAAACTCATGCTGAACATTTAAACCAAGTCCTTCATTTACACCTGTGGAAAAAGGTAGCACTTATCAACAATACAAAGTTACTGAAATACAAATGATCGTCATCTGACTTCTGGCCTAATGAAAGTTTAACCACAATATGTTTAATCTCTGTTGACCCATTTGATAGTTTGAACATAGATCATGGATTGATCTGTATATTCCTGCTATTCAAGGTATAACTACGCTCTATAAATAAAATAAAGAATAATAAAAAAACAATACAGTTATCAAAATGGACATGATACCTCTCAACTGGGCAATTATAACACAATGTAAAACAACCAAAAAACTATAAGAATTTTAGTAGGCTTATATCAATTTTTAAAATTCCTTAAAGAGAAATAAGTTTTACTCTTCTCTGTTCTTTCTATTGTACTGAACTCTATAGGTCACATAGATCAAAACCCTTTCCTTCTTTGACTCTCTTGAAATTGCACTAAGTTTCTCAGATCCATATCTCAGTTGAATCTTCCAAGTTCTTCTTGTCTTAATGTTTCTTATTTCATAAAGGCCTCTGGTCTAGTGTCAAATCCTTCTCACAGTAGTATCCCTAACCTGTTCTGGACAGATACACTCACTCCACAGTCTTGCCTTCTTTTGTGTCTCCTGCCATTACTAAAGCCAAATGCATATTCTGTAAAAACATTCAAATTTTGTGTTTCTGAAACTTTCTACATTAGCATGACACTCGACCTTAGACAAAATAGCATAACGGTATAGGTATTTGATGATTTCTTTGCTGTCGAGAAGTTACTGCCTTCGGAGTCTAGATGTGACCTCAAATAATGAAGAATAAAATACATATTAACAAATAACTACAACACAGAGAGGATAGCTGCCAGAACAGGTGCCCAGGCAAGACATTGAGAGCATGCAGAAAAGGCAGAATTTCACTAGATGCAATGGTTACTAAACTCCAGGTGTTTGTGCTCTGTATTCTTGGCTTGACCATATTCTAACAATGTGTAAAAATTTAATTATCTCTTGAACATTTATCACATTCAAATAATTTTCCCAGTGTCCCTTCTGCTGGGAGTTGCCCCAGCTCCAAAGACTAACTTCCTCATACCCCAAGAAGAGCCTTCCAATGGTGACCTCTACTGGCTCACATGATCCTTACCCACCAATCAGACTAGCCCTTCTGGCTCACATGATCCTTACCCACCAATCAGACTAGCCCTGCTGACTCATATGATCCTTACCCACCAATCAGACTAGCCCTGCTAACTCACATGATCCTTACCCACCAATCAGAAAGCACCCATGCCAACTGTCAAACCCTTCAACCATTAAACTGTCATAACTGCCCAACCATCCCCGGCTCAATATGCAGAGCTGTTCCTCAATAAATGGGCATTTTCTCCCACGATGAGCCTTGATAGTTCTTTCACCTTCCTTTTTCTACTAGCACCCCTCTACAATAAGTATTGAAGAGGAAGGAGAGGGGATGGAGAATGGAGAGAGCTGATCAGATCTTGGAAGGATGATTTTAGTTTTGAACATATTTATATTGAAGAACTAGAGGGACAACTAGGTGAAGACAGTTGACAGCTAAGCACAGAAAAACAGATCTAGAATTTACATAAACATAAATAATACTCAAAACCCTGAAGATAGAAGTTGTTAGTCATTTTCAGGAAAGACATTTCAGTATACTCTGGAGAGCATCACCCCATAAAGCTGATGGGTGACTTAGTACGGAAAAAGTGTCAGCAACTATAGAGACTTAGGAAGTTTATGGTGAAATGAAATAGAAATGTAAATGGAGCTTTTGATTATATTTTTTGAGTCATAACCAAATAATGAATTTAAAACAATGTATTACAGATACAAGTAAAGGAATAACATTTAGCTTGTGAGGGAGACAAGCATTCTGGAGTTCCAATCTCAAAGCACACCCCAGACTTCCTGCCTGGAAATCAGTGGGACTGTACACTAACTAACATTATAGGGCCAGCTCTGCAGCCCTAGCCTTCTGAATCTGGAGCTTCAGAGTCAGGATCCAATATATTCTGTAAGTTTTTCCAAGTACACAGTAAAATTACAGGCTCTAGGAAAAGAATTTTTACAGAAATAGCAAAAGTATTTATTTAACTATTATATAGTTCAGGTATAGATCTCTTATAGTGAATGAATATCTTAACAAACTATAGATGAATTTCTCTTAACTACCTGTCATATTTCCTCCTGAAGTCTCATATGTTATTCCAGTCATAGTGTTTATATAACTAGTTTTCATTTCTTGTTGGGATGCTGGGTTTGGGGCTTGTTATATTATGGACAGTGCGTAATGAGTATATGGCTTCCCATCATCTATCCTCATTTTCTTACCTCTTTTCAAACAGTTGAAAATAGAATGACCTCAAGTCAAATGAGTTGAAACACAGTTAAGAATCTAATTTTTTTTAAGGCCTGTAAGTTTCTAGGTTGAAACTAATTCTGTCCTTAAATTTAAACCCAACTCACCCTAATTTTTTTTTTATTTTGTTTTTCAATTGTCTCAGAAAGGACCTATATTTTTTTCTAATCAAATTGACACTTTTAATTGCCAATTAAAAATTACATAAAAAGTTTTATGAAGTTGAATCTTAACATAATTAACTATATCTTTTCCAAAAATAAGTATATTTAAGTCTCTAATGACTCCATACCCACTCAAATAATGTATTATGTAAAAGTAGCCCATTCTTACAAAATAAAGCCAGCTCCTAAGCAGATCATCATAAAGCATTTATTTATTGTAACAAAAAATAGTTAATATAGATTTTTCATAATTCATCTATATTCCAATTTATGACACAAACTCAATTATAAATAAAATGAACAATAATTTATAATAGTCTTAAAACTTCAGATTTAAATGAAAATAGAAAGATTAACTGCTTTTATTTGAAACTATATTGAGCAGATTTTATCCCAGTATTCTACCAACACATTTCCTTCCACCCAGGCATGAATTTCCACACTAAAATGTTTTGCTGTGAGATTTTAGTGTGACATATTTCCTCATATTTGTAATTAAAGGTTCAGTCATTGATCATATGCATATGCAAAATTTCAGAGAAATTATACAGAGATTTTAGTTTTAATGTGAAGCACACTTATGGGACATAACTTCTAGGAATGAGATCAATTAGTTGATTAATTAGTTAATTGCTTCTTTCCTCATGTAAGCATGCTACTCTTGATATCAAGAGGACAGGCCTAATCTCCCTACCCTTGAATCTTACTGCTTTTTGATGACTTTTGTGGCTAATGGCATGCAGCAAAAGTCATGTTCTGATGTTTCCCTGAAGCTAAGTCTTAAGAATTCTTGTAGCTTCTGTTTAGGTTTCGTGGGATACTCATTCTTGAAGTGCTTGTTCTTGGAACCCTGCCATCATTTCACGAAGGAAATTAAAAAAAAAAAAAAAAAAAAAAAAAGAGTAGGCCCAGATAAACTCCCAACACAAGCAGAGCAGCATCAACTACTAGCTGTATGTGCAAGCAATCTTTTTTTTTTTGGTCCTGGGGATTGAATCCAGAGGGATTTTACCACTGAATCACATCCCCCAGTCCTCCCACCCCTCTTTTTTTTATTTTGAGACAGGGTCTTACTAAGTTGCTTAGGGCCTTGCTAAATTGCTGATGCTGACCTTAAACTTGGCAATCCTCCTGTCTCAACCTCCTGAGTTGCTGGGATTATAGGCCTGTGCCACTGCCCCTGGTTTGTGTGAGCTATCTTAAAAGACCAGTTCAATCAAGTCTTCAGATGGCTGAATCCCCAGCCAACATCAGATGGTAACAGCATGAGACTTCAAATGAAAATTGTTCAGCAGAGAGTCAGCCCACAAGAACCATGAGAGAGAATAATGAATCATTATAATCCACTTGTTTGGGGGATGTTATTATGCAGCAATAGATGCCTACATTAGTTTATCTTTCTCTCATTCAGAATATAATCAGATCATTATAATCATCTCAGAAAAGTAACATACTAGAGATCAAATGATCCTTTAAGTATTACCTAGTAGTCTAGAGTCATAAAAAATATGTTCAATTTTCTTAATAAAAATACTTCAACCTTATCTTTTGTCCATGTTTTCCCTCTAATTATTATTGAATTAAGATCTGATCTACAAAAATAAAAAAAAAGAGAGAAAACAAGATTTCAGAAGTTTGAGGGTCCACCCCAAAACACATGGGATTGTCCTCTGCCTCTCCTATTTCAAACCTAAGCACTTTGTACTTTATTCATGACTGCTTTTAAAGTGTCATATTTTTCCTGAAATAAAACATAAATTCAGGATAATACTGTATCTCATTATTTTTTACCTAAATTTGTAAACAATTTTATAGATCCACAACCAATCCACTTTTACTGAAGTTGAAAAACCATTTCCATCTTGTTTTTTTCTTATCAAAATATATGGACTCTTGAATCTAATGTCAATCATATAAGATGTCACATTTCATTTTTCTAATTTGGGGGCAATTAGAACATATTAAGTAGCTTGTATTCTTCTTCTTCCTCCAAACTAGTTGAGAAAGGGTTTATCCTTTCTCAACTAGTATTTTCTATGCTCTCACCTTCAAACAGATAATTCAATAAGTGGCTTTAGCTCTCACTAAAGGTTGGTAATCCTCAAATCATATTTTTACTTTCTTATTCTTTTTCCTTTATTAAATTTAAATCTTTATTATGTGTTTCCAATCTACCAAAGATTTCACCTCTTCCCTTCCCAAATCCTTCTCATCTCCAAATCAAATTCAATATTACTCCCTTCATGAAACTTTCTGTAATAATACCTGTTAAACTAAATTATATTCAATATCATTTGATAAACAAAACAAAGATTAACGTGTCAGTGTAAATATTTATGACACAAATGTGGTCAAGTAGGGCAGTGAGTATCATGGTTAGGAACTAAATTAAATATATTCCTTGACTCTATCTTTCTACTGGAGCCTAAAATTCCACAATTAAGCAGCTTAATGGTTAAAGTCAGTCTTACAGCTGACCTGTAAACACTCTTTGCAAATGGTGAGCTCTGCCTTTTTAATATGAAATACTTTGCTGTATCCTTTCAGGAAAGCAGAATTTGGGAGCAAAGGAAAACCTTCCTGCATACCCACACAAGCCAAGGGCATCACTGAAGAAAGAAAAGAGAACAAAAAGAAAAAGTAAGAGATGCCAAAAATCTCAATATGCCTACTATACAAATCAGTTCTGTTGAGAATTGGCCTTGTGCATTACAAATATGACTATAAATTATTCAGAATGTTTGATTAACCAATTACTCTCATTCTTTCACAATGCTATAGGAGGAATTTCTTCTTCTTACACAAACAAGAAACATATTCACCCCATAGCACCATCGTTCTTTCTGTAAATGATAAATTTCAGTCAGCATAACAGGAAAAAGATGGATCCAGCATTCTCCTTCAGTTATTCCCCCTTTTTCAAGCAATCCTGACTCCAATTTTGAACCCCTACTATCCCTACCCTACTACCACTAAATAAAAGAGGTATGAAGTAATGAAGTTCTGCTTTACACAGCAAATTACTCAAAGAAGAGTAATATGAATTTAATGACCAAATGTTTCTCTAGTTTCTGGAGGTGTTTCCCTCCTTCTTTCTCTCATTCACCTCTCATCTGCTAGTTGGCTCTTCCTAATTTATTTTGCACTGCTTTTCTGAGTCTGCCCGAGCCCTGACTTCTGGCTCCCACTATTCATAGTTACCTGTTCTTTCCTTTACTTTCTTGACCTATGATTTCTCACACATCCTCTGCACTCCCTTTCTCCCACTAGGTACCTGACATCTACATGAGTTTGGGTCACCTCAAGGACAAGAGGAAAAACATAATCCATTCCTGGCAGAAGAAAGAATAAACAAATTTGGGGTATCTGTGAGATTATAGATAGTTTCTAAGAGTTATAGGCCAAGCTCCGGATTATTGTAACAACTCAGTTGTTAACTCCGCCCCCTTCCCAGGATACTTATCTGTAATTTGGCATGGACAATTTATCCGCAGAGATTGAAGCAAAATCCAGGACTAATTGCTCTTATTATAGTCTGGAAAAGCAACTTAAAGAAATCATTAACTATAAAATTGTGAGCAGTTTAAACCCTCAAGCTCAAGTTTATAAGGGTAAACTATTTCATTCTTTGTTGATACTTTATTATGTTGGATCCAAACAGCATCTTAATGCATTTAGTAATCAATTAATAGATTACATTGAGTTAATTATTTTGGCTTTCCATTTGTAAGAATCCCCCTCCCCATGTTATTCTAACAAGAGTTTATATGCTGAATTAAAAAAAAAAAAAGCCTAAAGTACAGTTCTGTCCCACTTGAAAGAATGTTTCTCTCTTATACCCTGAAAATATTGTTTCCTTTTTGGAAAACATCTTTAAAAAAAAATCGATTTTGTAGATCATTCCAACAGTGTTTTATTCAAAAGTCCTAAAAATGGTTCTTTCTAAGGCTCTTCCAGGGTCAAGCAAGAAGAGACTATGAATGTCTTGATCAGAGCTAACATTCATAGGCAAAATTGTCCTCAGCCTTCTCTTTTTTCCTTTCTGCCAAGTTGGCCAGTGTCTATAAACTCCACCGATTAGTAGTCAAAGCATCCCCTAACCCTGGAGCCTGTGGGAATTTAGGAATTTCAACAGGAGCACATCAGTCCCAAAGGCCTCCTTTACTCTTGAAGAAATCCCTCACAACAAAGGACAAGGGGGTTGCGGGGGAGGGGTGGGTAAAGGACTTGGACCGGAAGAAGTGAGTATTCTGGCGTTTGAATAGTAAACCCCAATCACTGGTGGATAGCTAATAAGTAACCGTGGAAATGCAGTATTGCCCGGGTACAGATACGCTGAACAAATCACACCAAGTCTTCAGGGAGTGGGTGATTTCTTCCCTCCGGCCTCTCTCTCGCTCTTCCCTGAACTTTTTCCACCACCTCCTCCTGCAGGGTTTGGATCGACCGACACCCAGTTCTCCGCCCCTCCAACCCACCCCTCCAACATTCCTGGGACTTTTCCAAGCTGCGCTGCTGAACTCCCAGGAGGAGGACTCCTAGAAACGCCAGTGAATCCAAACGGCTTGGAGCTGTACCTTCCAGTGACCTGAGCCAGTCTGGACGTCCTTTAACCATAATGCTTATTTATCCAGGTCTAGCCCAGGGTGAATCAGCCTTAGGACTCCAAGCGTTTTATGCAAATGAGCATTCACTTGACGCGAGGGCTGCAACTTGTCCCCAATCTCATCCCCCCCTTGCCCCAGCGCCTCCCTCTACTCAACCTGTGCGAGCTGGAAGTTTTATGAAGTTTCCATCTTTTGTGCCCGTCTCCACTTGCTCCCCAAACCCCACAACAAGTAAGAACGACGATCTTCCTGGAATCCATCCACTACTTCTAATCCTTTCTTTATTCCTCAGACACCGTCCTGAGCCCTGAGCACCGTACACCGAACGCCCCCCGGGCTGCAGGATGATTGCCCTCGCCCATTTTAAATGGCCCAGCACCTGCCCCAGCCTCTAGCCGCCCCTCCTCGCCTGCGGGAAAAGTCCAGAGGCAGGCTCTCTGCTGTGGGTGGGGGTTGGGGGGGCTCGGGTGTTCCGTGCAATCTGAGGACTACAAACATTCACTTTCTCTAGCACTCGTCCCCACGCCCAGCCTTTAGGCTACTTATCCGCACCAGCTCGCACACTCACCCATGGCCAAAGGTCCTCCTTCTTCTGAGGTCCCCAGAGGAGTGCGAGTGACCAGATCCTCCGGAGGGCCAAGTTTTCCAAGCGCCTCTCCGGCTTCTAACGCCCCAGCGAGTGACAGCCTCGCCCCTCCCAGCGGAGACAGCTCACAAGCCGCCTGGAGGCTCTGTGCGCATGCAGACCCCTCCCTCTTTCCACCTGCTTGCCCTGGTTGAAACCTATTTCCCTGGCTTCTGAGCACCCCTCCCTAGAGGTCTCTACCCTGCCCCCTTTCACTTTCAGATTAGCCTCCTGCAAAGGTCTCCCTCTTCTACACATTAAGTACACATTCCACAACACATCTCAGAACCCCATGAATGACCCCTTATCCAAAATAATGATCCCTAAAGTGGGGTCTCAGAAAAGATTGTTCCGAAAGAAAAGATGGTTTGATAGGATGCTTTTATATTCCCTAAATTTTTCTCTTGTCTTCAGTACAACCAATTCTTCTTAATAATAATGTTAATAAAGATAAATATAAGAGAAAAACCTCCCTTTACTTTATACTTTATCATCTCTTCTTTTTCGTAAAATTTGTTTCTGTTATCTCACAAGGCTATGAAGTCCTAAAACACACACACACACACACACACACACACACACACACACACCCCATAATATGCAGATATCAACTGGAAAATAAAGCGACTCAATCGGAAAGTGGGTGGATGCTGTTGAATGAGCACTGGGGCTTATCAGTTGCAAGGATGGATGGCGACTCTGTATCTGCCCCTGGTATGCTGGGACTCAGTTTCCTAATGTGTAAAATGAAGGATATGGAAAAAGTCATCTCTAAGGTCCCTTCAACCAAAAAAAAAAAAATTATATAATTCTATGGGTTTTTGACCTAGTTCTTTTAGGATTCCTCCTGGAAAAGTTATTTCAGTAAGTCAGTCCCCAAAGTGTCTTTAAGATTTTTTTTTCTTGCAAAACACACCCTAAAGTATACAGATCTATACCATGCTATACCATGAGCAACCAGAAGAACAGAATAAAGTGGAAATGATTCCTAATTTGAGGGATATTGCTGTCTAATGAAGAAGAGTTGATAGGAAAAATAAAAATATCTTTAGTAGAATATATGGATAAATGCAGATAATATTCATTAAAATGGCACAGAAACATTTGCACTATTATTTATCATGTAATGAAAGAAGTACACTCCCTGCAGGAATGTTGTAAATGCATTTCAGTTAAATGGAAACAGGAAGTCTTTCTTGTGGGAGGGGAAAGGAAGTAGTCCATAAAAGTTAAAAGTGTTCAACGTATCATTCAGAAATGCATCACCATTCTAGAAATTAATAAACGTGAACTGTAACTGTAGAAAAGTATATCACTTATATGTTGGGTCAATAATGATGTTAGTAATTTTGGAGATTAATTTATAAAATCAAATTTAGAATTGCCTTCAACAATTTACTGCCTATTTATTAAGTGCCTATTCCACGTTAATATTCTAATTCTGAAAGTTAGAACCATTCAAGGCTTTTCCAGTGTAATTCTATCATGATTCTGAAATACAAAATAATAATAACAATAACACAAACTGAGTACAATTGGTTGTATCAGGCAATATTCCTAGGGCTTTGTACCACCTCATATAATTTTCACAGCAAAAGAGAAATACTGTTATTTTCACTTTACAAATGAATAAACTAAGGCACTATAATATTAATCATTTTTCCAAATTCATATAGGTAATAGAAAGGTGAGATTTATACCCAAACAGAAATGCTCCAGAATCTATGACCTTAATCAATTCAACACACTCACAGTCTCCAAGTGGAATGTCAGCTGCTTGAAAAAATATTGTGGAATCCTTCAACACTGAATATAATTCATAAATATTTTAAACATTCTCAATAAATAAGAATTTCAAAATTCAATAAAGCTATAAATCATATCCTGCCATCTAATAATCAAAACCATGATGTTATTTCTCTTCTGGACTATTGTAAGTGAATATTATCAAATTTTTGATATTTAAGTATCTATCTTACAGTAACCATATAAATTGGAGGCCATTCTCTCGTCTGAGATTTTACAAATTATATAATTTTGAGATTTAATATTAATTAAATTAATTAATCTAATTAATCCACTGTATCAGTGAGTATATGCTCTTTTTATGACTCAACTCTTTAGTATTTCTGCTTTCCATTCTTACCAATGAATTGTCCATTGAATCTGAAGGTTCTGCCTCTAAAACAACTTCATACATACCCTTCATCTCTAGTCCCATTGTTTATACCACCTTCCATCATGTCCTATGGAGATACTAAGAATACATCTTTTTTAGAATATGAAGTTCTTAACAACTATAAACTCAAAATTGAGGCTTTAACTGAAATTCTAAACTTCTGACATGAATGGAAATTTTTGATTACACAGCCAAATTACAGATTAAAGGGACTTCATCTAGGTATAGAGTAATGATGGGTTCCTTGAGCATTTTATGGTCCAGCCAGATATCATTTCAACATTACTAATGGTTTGATTCATTGAGGGAGAATGTCAAATAAGAAGAATACCAAAAAGTGAGAAATCAGAGCGCACAAACATTGAATAACTGTAGGCAAGAGGAGCTCATAAAAATCAGTACAAAAATAATTACGGGCTATGGTGAGAACCCAGAGAAAGTTATCTAAGGAAAATTTCAAGAAAAAAAATAGTCAACTGGATTGCATATTGCAGAATGAGCAAATTAACATGAGGACTACCAAATTGCCTTTTGATCGGCAATTCAGAGGTCACTGGTAAAACATTAGCAAGAATATTGTCAAAGGAGAAGGAATAGAGAAATTCAGAAGAGAATGAGTAATGAGGAAGGGGAGGGTAGGAAGAGTGTAGACAACATCTTCAAAGCTCATCAGGAAAGAAGTAGGGTGGTGCCCAGAATGTGTGTGGGGTAAAGGAAGTTTATTTTACAAAAATAAAAGAAATGTGAGAATGTTTAATATGCTAATGAATATAGAAGATGATGCTTTTAGAAATAAGTTGACTAAGATGAAAGGACAGTGAAAATACTGAGAATATAAATGAAATTTAAGAGCAAATTCAGTGGAAATAAAGCATGAAAGAGGAGGATGGATGGAATAGATAAACCATTATTGCTATATTTGCATTTAAGATTATAGATATTGAATAAAAATGAAACCCAGAGTAAGACCAAAGGAGGAAATCAATAAAGGTGACAATCCTTGATATTGAGGCAAGTCTTTCGAAATGAGTATTAGGAGTGTCATCAACAAGGATACTAAAGTATAATACCATGATTGTAGGAAATGGTGAGAAAGAAAAAACTGTCTAAGTGCAATTAAAGTGACCTAATGCATTTAGAGACTGAAATGTTAATGAGTTACACAAACGTTAATCACAATTATAAATATTATTTGAGAGAATAAATGGAAACACTCCATGGATGGCCATAAAATTCAATGATAAGTTGTCATCATCTACATATGGATAAACAATCAAGAGGAAATCACAGATCCTCAAGCAGGGTAACAAATGGTAAAAGGGATACTGTAGAGATCAACCTGGTTTTTTTAGAAAATGAAGTTTCCATCCTTAAGACTTATGTCGTTTCATTGATGATAGGTTTTGTTTGCTTGGTTTCACTTTTGTTGAGTTGTTTTTGTTTTATAAATATTGTAGTGGGTTATATGTTAGCTCCCATGCTGTGACAAATTACTTGAGCAAATAACTGATAGGAGGAAAGTTCTATTTTGGCTTAGTTTAAGAGGGTTCAGTACATGACCACTTGTACATTGGTTTTTGGACCCCTGGTGAGGCAGAACATCATGATGGTGAGCACATGGTAGAATAAATCGCTTACCTCATGACATTCAAGAAACAAACAGAGAAGAGTGAAGGGACTAAGGTTTGAATATACTCTTTGGAGGGCACAACCCCAGTTACCTAACTTCCTTCCACTAGGCCCCACACCTTCTGAAGGTCCCAACACCTCCCAATTGGGCCAAGGCTGGCAACCAAACCTTTAACCCATGAGACTTTGAGGGACACTCCAGATCCAAGCTACAATAGGCTGTTTCACAGCAATTTTGTCATACATATGTAAGCCTCAGGAGCCTTTTTTACCCTGGAAGAAAAACTAACACCTCAGCTCCCAGATATAGTCCCCAATTATGATCCATTGGCATTTGTTCCATTCTTAAGGATGATTTCCTTTGAAGGAAGTGTTTTGTTTTTTTTGTTTTTGGGTTTTTGTTTTTTTTTTTTTTTTTGATTTTCAGTTTTGTTTTTCAATTGGGTCACAAGAGAATTTTTGAAAGATTCAAGGCCTCCTCTTCAAATAGATATAAGGAAGTATCTTATGAGAACTGTAACAATAAAGCAGGGGTGTTTTTAAATTTCTTTCCTTGAAGTATTTAAACACAGCATGTTTTAAATTTTCTTTCTTTCTTTCTTTTTTTTATTTCTATGGAACAATCTTCTCTCCCTCATTAAAAAAAAAAAAAAAAAAGACAAAGACAAAGAAGAGTAAAGGAGGGGAAAGTGCCTCAGAGAATAGTCCCAGTATCTGAAGTTTCACCCAGTTGGGGGCCAAAGAACCAAGCCTACAGGTATGGCCAGAAGTCTATTCTGTTAGCCTCTAATGGTTACTAGCAGCCCCTTAAGCTTAGAAGTTATTG